ACTCTCTTTAGTTTGTTAATAAGTGGTGAAAAATTTCCTTGAGCTGTAGAAATCCAGTTTCAACTATTCCCATTCCAGTTCCTTGTAATACTTGTCTACTTATTAGATTATTTTTATTGGGGATTTTTTTTTTTACTCTAAATCACTTGATTTAGAGTTGTGGGCTGAGATGTGTAAAGTGCATAGTGGTAAGTATCAACGGTCAAACAGCTAACTTTGACTTTTCTTTGTAATAGTATGTCATGTGAGTAGAAATAAACAGAGCATGATAGAAAAGAAGGTATTGATGGTGACTCTCTAATGATAAAAGGCACCTGAACATTGATGAATCGCTGAAATTAAATACCATCTCCTGACCCATATGGGAATGTTGGTCCTTCAGCAACTTCCCTGAATGTGATTTAAAGGAAAATGCTCGTACTGACAAATCATGTTATAAAGCACAAAGCGAATCTTTATTTGTCCTTTTTTAAAAGGAGGTGAATCAGAAAGCTTTTGCAAAGCAGTCTCCAGAGATATCAAAATGATAAACCAGCAGTGAAAGCCATTTGTAAGACATCTTTCTGCCTGCCTTAATTTGTGGCTCTGCTCTGCAAAGGAACCTTGTAAGAATGAAGCTTGACAGACATTGTTTGAGTGATATCTGAGTGAAACTTCTGTTAAGAAAATGAGATAATCTGGGGAGCACCTTTCAGGATCAAAGCCAAAGATTTTGGATACCTTACTGTTACTACTTACTCTTCTGTCAGTGTGGCTCCATGTATTTCATTTTATTCACGTCTTTGAAGGCAGTTCAATTACTTGCATGGTTCTGTATTTGTAACACATTTCCTTTGATGTATAAGGCAAACAAGAGTCTTACATCAGTTTGTTGTCCCACAGAAGTGCTGATCCTTTGAGGCTGAGAGAATTAACCTGATTTTTCAGTGGAATTCTTAGATATGAATGGAAAAGTTGTGTGAAATAGATTTTTACAAGATATTTTGCAAAAAGTACCATTTATTTAATGCATTACTGCTTTAAGCAGTGGATATAGATAGTATAGTCCAGTTTCTAAGGGCTTTCTCTTTTATTAGCTTTAAGAGTGCACTGGTGGCTTAGACTAGGTGTTTTTGCCCTGACACAGGGCAGGAATATAGTGTTTCAAGTGCAAAACAGTAGCTTAAAACTTTGCTGTAGGTAGATAGATCCCAAGGAATTTTTGCTTATCTCTTGTCCTCTGTACATTTCAAAGTGTAACTGACTGTTGTATCTGAATGGACAGTGTGCAAGGAATGTACAGGAATTGTTTGTGCATTTCAGAAGTATTTGAAAGGTGAAAGAAATATTTAAAAGGCAGCTCTTTCTGTAAGTGCCCCTTGAAAACAACAAGAAATGTTTTTACAAATACATTAATGACAAAAAGAGAGCCAAGGAGAATCTCCATCCTTTATTGGATGCGGGGGGCAACATTGCCACCGAGGATGAGGAAAAGGCTGAGGTACTTAATGCCTTCTTTGCCTCAGTCTTTAACAGGCAGACCAGTTATCCTCAGGGTATTCAGCCCCCTGAGCTGGAAGACAGGGACGGTGAGCAGGATAAACCCCCCATAATCCAAGAGGAAGCAGTCAACCACCTGCTACGCCACCTGGATGCTCACAAGTCTATGGGGTGGGATGGGATCCACCCGAGAGTGCTGAGGGAGCTGGTGTAGGAGCTTGCCAAG